TCGAGAATAAGACTAGATTGGAAGCTTTCGTGACTGCAAGGATTCATACTCTTGGTTCTTTCGGTAAAGTCACGTAGGTATAAAAAAAACTATATAAGGCCGTACAATTTGGGACTTCTCTCCACTTGATACAGAAATTTTGCTGTGACAGTCTCACCTGAAGACGGAAGCTTGTGTTGCCTCCGAAACGTCGTGATTTTATTGTTTTTATTTTTTGTTTTTATTAATTTTAATTTCATTTTTTTTACCTACGTGACTTTACCGAAAGAACTAAGAGTACGAGAATACGACTGCTCAACTCCGTCTTTAGAGTATAGAGCCCGCACGTCACTGCTGCAGTGGGCTTTTCGCGTTCTGTCACGTTGCTGCTCGACACGACGTCTGGCGAGACATGACTCGGCACGTGCAGCGAAACGTCGGAATGTCGGGCCGGACAACACGCGGCACTAGCCGAACACGCATCGGAGAGCGGCGATGGGTGTCGCTGACCCATCGGAGACGCGACAATGCGCCTCGAACAATAGAACCGCTGATGGTGAACAGGACCCCTTGATTGCAATTCGGCAGCCGGTCGCTCGATCTCCGGTCCAAAGAGTCCACATTTGTGGAACACAAAGGGGCGCTAATGGAGCGTTTATCGAACGCGTGTTGCTGCGCTGGCACCTGGGTTGCCAACCTGTCACCTGTAGGGTCAGCGGCATTATGGCTCAACAAGTAAATTAAGTCGGTAAAGCGCAAGCTTAGCGCGCATTACGCGATTAAGCAGAAGCTACAGACCCGAGGCTGCTGTAAATTAATTGTGTGACTGGGAAAGCCTTGTGTGTGTGTTGTGCGGTTTGTTTTTAAAGCGGCTCAGTGGATAATACAAACTACGAGATATATTTGTGTTTGTGGAACGCACATACGATGCAATCGTTGTGTGCAAGCCTCCGATTTACAGAGCTGCATTCATCATTGCTGAGCCGCATTTGTCACCAATTCCTGCGCGCCCGCTGCCTGCATCGGGAGGGAGATGCCGGCAACCGGTGACGCGGAGAGGCAAGCCCCGTGGGTAGGGAGCCGATGGCGCAGCGGTTGTTAGCGCGCTGCGCTACGAGCCCAGCAACACCCGAGTTCGATTCCCGCTCACGGTCAACACCGGCGACGATTGTCTGAAGAGGTCCTGGGCCGGCCTCCTCTGGGTCGACTCGATGCCTAAACATGTCCATTCGGGAGACAAAGGCGGCCGGGCGTGGTGCTTCGTGTGCCGGTTTTCATAGGTGCTCGCTAACAGCACTTGCCTTCAACACTCTGTTAAAGGCTATACGGGGGATCTTTGTCTTTGTATCGGTAGATAATGCTGCACAGAGCGGCAATCTCGCGTGGTTATTTCAGTAATATTGCCTTTTGGATGAACTACCCCTGTCGACACTGCTCATGCGTCATTACACAGAATATTGCACTGTTCGTGATGTTAACATTAAATCCGCGGACGCGGAATTGCTCTAACAGTACACTTGCACGTGTCACAGCCATTCGACGTCCCCCCTTACTCGCAGTGCTCATCTCCGTCGTGGGAATTCCACATTCCTCTGGCAGGCACCAGCCTCTCACGAGGATAACATAGCTGATGGTTCACCAAGTCGTACTCATTTTATTGACATCGAATGGTTGTTGATTGATGACGATGATGTCCGCTGTTTAATTTGATCGGGAGCAGTTCAGAACGCTGTTGAAGAAATCATTTTGGTACGCCACATCCATCTCCTGTATTTCAACCTCTACTTCTTCACAGGTTGATAAACATATAGCGTCAAATAATATCTAGTATTACAATTATTATCTTCCAAAGGCGATTATTGTACTCTATTTGTAGTGCTTTGCGCTGGATAATCTCTACTCCAAGCCAACCTCGGAGTGTCCCGTGCCATATCGAGTGAGAAATTCAGCCTAATGATGATGACGACGACCATGATGATGCTAAGGTAGGGCCAGCGCCTAAAACCTGAAATTGGATTTGTGACCTCCCGATTGTGAGCGAGAGGCGAGCGCCTTGTTGCTGTGCGCGTGCGTGTGTCGCGCGCATAAATGGACACCGCGTGCGCGCGCTGCGTGCGCGTGTGCTGCACGGGCTGCATTGCACTGCTGTCGAGATGGTGCTCCCGTCAGGGTTAACCAGGGCCGCCTTTGTACCTGTGCACCCAATTCGGCACGGTTCAGCCTTGTCGCGAGGCTGGTCGCGAGCGTGACGCAAGTGTCATATCTCATGGTGGAGACCTACAATACATCACGTTGCCCAAATGCCAATGTCAGGCCACGCCACGCACCCCGCCCCCTCCCTACAAAAGAAGCCAACGAGATGTTATTTGACGTGACAGCAAGAATAATGTGAAGCCCTTCGTAGATCCACTGCTGAATGAAGTGCCTCGCTCAAGGCTGTGTCGGTCACACGGCTTGTTTGACCACACGGCGCCACGATGGTCGGAGCGCATCGGTTGCTGGACAGAAGCTGGGTATCGGCAGGACATGATGGGTTCAAATGTCACTCGTACTCTTAGTTCTTTCGGTAAAGTCACGTAGGTAAAAAATGAAATAAAAATTAATAAAAATAAAACAATTAATTTTAATTTCATTTTTTACCTACGTGACTTTACCGAAAGAACTAAAAGTATGAATCCTTGCAGTCACGAAAGCTTCAAATCTAGAATCAAATGTCACTCGCCACTGACAATCAAGCGTGCTACGCATGTGTCAGTCACACAGTGAGTGGCCTTTAAAGGATATATATTGTAGGCGACGTTTCGGGCAATTACCCTTCTAGACGTGGCCGGTAATTAAACTCAGGTCGGCCGTGTTCATTTCGATATTAAAAAAAAACGGCCCTACCTCTCCACCAACCACTTCATTGGGGATTACATCGGAAGCCGCCGAGGTTTGTGACGTTGACGATCGGATGATGAAAGGTTGACGTTTTTAGATGAATGTATATCCGCCGGGGAATGAAGCCGCTAATGGTTCAGCATGATACCCGTTTAACACGTGTCTAGCTATTGTGATATATACTGCCATGTAGCACGTGTGGACGAGTATGCGGGAGTGGAGCGGTAGTGTCGAGTAAATTGACCGGTAAACCTGAGTTCGAATCTCGACCAGGGCTAACGTGGCAGAGGACAATGTTACATGAGCACGTCCATGCGGGCGTCAGCCAGCCAACCTTCCACAAGCCCACATCGAGACCGGCGTGGCGAAGTACGGCGAAACAGAGGGAGGCGTTCATCTGGCAGTGGAGTGACATATTTGACAATGATTGTATTTCCCGTATTGTGAAGTATAACAAACTTGTATCATTTCACCCTCTATGGTAAGTATAGAACCAGCGACTCACAAACATCATTATTCACGTGTGTGTGTGTGTTCATGACGCACGTGTGTGTGTGTTCATCACGTGTATGTGTGTGTGTTCATCACGTGTATGTGTGTGTGTTCATCACGTGTGTGTGTGTTCATCACGTGTGTGTGTGTGTTCATCACGTGTGTGTGTGTTCATCACGTGTGTGTGTGTTCATCACGTGTGTGTGTGTGTTCATCACGCACGTGTGTGTGTGTGTGTCCATCACGTGTGTGTGTGTTCATCACGTGTGTGTGTGTTCATCATGTGTGTGTGTTCATCACGTGTGTGTGTGTTCATCACGTGTGTGTGTGTTCATCACGTGTGTGTGTGTTCATCACGTATGTGTGTGTGTCCATCACGTGTGTGTGTGTTCATCACGTGTGTGTGTGTGTTCATCACGTGTGTGTGTGTTCATCATGTGTGTGTGTGTCCATCATGTGTGTGTGTGTTCATCACGTGTGTGTGTGTTCATCACGTGTGTGTGTGTTCATCACGTGTGTGTGTGTCCATCACGTGTGTGTGTGTCCATCACGTGTGTGTGTGTTCATCATGCACGCGTGTGTGTGTCCATCACGTGCGTGTGTGTTCATCACACGTGTATGTGTGTGTTCATCATGCACGTGTGTGTGTGTGTTCATCATGTGTGTGTGTGTCCATCATGTGTGTGTGTGTGTCCATCACGTGTGTGTGTGTCCATCACGTGTGTGTGTGTTCATCATGTGTGTGTGTGTTCATCATGTGTGTGTGTGTGTCCATCACGTGTGTGTGTGTCCATCACGTGTGTGTGTGTTCATCATGTGTGTGTGTGTCCATCACGTGTGTGTGTGTTCATCACGTGTGTGTGTGTTCATCATGTGTGTGTGTGTGTCCATCACGTGTGTGTGTGTTCATCACGTGTGTGTGTGTGTCCATCACGCACGTGTGTGTGTCCATCACGTGTGTGTGTGTCCATCACGTGTGTGTGTCCATCACGTGTGTGTGTTCATCACGTGTGTGTGTGTTCATCACGTGTGTATGTGTGTGTGTCCATCACGTGTGTGTGTGTTCATCACGTGTGTGTGTGTTCATCACGTGTGTGTGTGTGTTCATCACGCACGTGTGTGTGTGTCCATCACGTGTGTGTGTCCATCACGTGTGTGTGTTCATCACGTGTGTGTGTGTTCATCACGTGTGTATGTGTGTGTGTCCATCACGTGTGTGTGTGTTCATCATGTGTGTGTGTGTTCATCACGTGTGTGTGTGTGTTCATCACGCACGTGTGTGTGTGTTCATCACGCACGTGTGTGTGTTCATCACGTGTGTGTGTGTTCATCATGCACGCGTGTGTGTGTCCATCACGTGCGTGTGTGTTCATCACACGTGTATGTGTGTGTTCATCATGCACGTGTGTGTGTGTGTTCATCACACGTGTGTGTGTGTTCATCACGTGTGCGTGTGCGTGTTATAGTGAGCGCGTGAATAATGATTCCGCGCGTTTAATCGAGTGCAGCAGCCACAACCCAGGCGCACGTTTTCAATTCACGTGAAATAAATTAACAAAACCACTCATTACGAGCTGGTTTTCATCATCTCCGGTAAGTTAGTAGCACAAATCAGTTTCGTCTGAAATAAATGCCAATGCTTTCAAAAAAACATTTAACTTGATTTTAATGGCAAGATTTTGTTTTCGTTTCATCATAATATCGATAATAACAACCATGCAAAAATATAAGTGTATATAATGTACCTTCCATGCAACCGATGTGAAAATCGAAGCTCCAGGCATTTTTTGTGTTGTTGTTGACAGACTTCGGTAAAAACGTCATTGGTAAAGCACATACAGAGTAAACATTGTAAGCATGCGCTATCAATTGATTCAGGACAAATCCATCTTTTTCGTGAAGCATGCTTTCCCATTGATGGAGGTGGTGGTGGTGGTTGACACACGACTGCGAGAAAGCCTTAAGCACGGAATCACCGCATCTTTACAAAACGTAGCGCGAAACGTGTAAAACACGTCCAATTAAACAAAGTAGTTTTTTTTTTAAAATTAATTAATTCTGTTTGTTGTTGTTACAAAATGTACGCACGTTTACATTCATTGCACGGGAAAGCCTAGAGTACAAAAAGCGAATTTCTTCTGATTCAGAAAACGTTTTTGTGCAAAATACAGTGTTTTGTTCACATTGTATAAACCGTCACCAGAGCAATTAATAAAGAAAACCAGTCACAGCGAACCACGAACGGCTAACATCGCCCCATGCCGAACATCATCAATACGACTCGAGTAATATTCGCGAAACACACCACCCACAAAATCCCGTGCGCCCACTTCCCCAAATGTAAGCTGCATTAGGTCAGCAGCTGAAACAACCACCCCACGACAACCATTACAAACACGCACAAAACTACCGCTCCACTCGGATTTTGGACGATATCCACAGTAATGGCTTAAACGACACGCGCCTCAAACGTAATCTATGGAACATCGCGTCGCTTCTTCTACCCATTGGGAGCGTGCAATCGGCGCAGCGCGACTCGCCCTGCAGCCGGCAACATCTTCGTACACCCTCGGATGGCAGTAGGAGACACATGGAGGACATTTCCCCTTGGTGAGCGACCAAGAAGGTTGCGTGAAGACGACATCACCGTCCAGATGACGGAGCGCCTTGGTAACAATCGAGCTCGACGGAGCCAGCAGACCACGGACAGTCGTTGAGCCCCCGCGTTCGGCACAGAAGCCTCGAACGAGCTCGGGAAATTGGGCACGGCACGGCTCTCTCTCTACCGCATGGTACGCGCGCCGTCAGTAGGTCCTGATGATGACAGCCTCCACCTCCCTGGAGGGCCTCCGCTCCTTCACCAGAAAGTTGATCATGCTCTCCGACTTGATGAGCAGATTGCAGCCGAGGAAGAAGACTCCGAAGACGACGGTGAGCGAGAGCACGCACATGACGGCGATCTGCACCACGCGGAATATGTACAGGTTCCTGGGGTCGGCCAGCGGCGCCTGGAAGCCGGCTCCTCCTCCTCCTCCGTCTGCCACCGCCGGTGCCGAGAGGTTACAGCACGGGCCCAGCGCGGAGTCGTTTGTCGCTCCAGCGTGGCCCAGCAGCGTCGCGTTGAACACTCCCAGGGAGTCGTTCAGGGCGAGCAGGGAGGCGTTCAAGTTGAGAAGCGAAGAGGCGTTCATGGCGCAGAAACGCCGCGCGGCGCTGACAGGCGCGGGATGGAAGAGGGCGCAGAGCGCATCGGGGTGCGCCAGTGGCGGTGCTGCTGCTCCTGCTACGCAGAGCGACTCCCCAGCGCAGAGCGACTCCCCTGGAAGAGCAGCGCAGGGGGTGACTCTCGTACAGGGTCACACAGGGTTGACTCTTGGATCGAGAGCGCAGGGGTGACTGCTGTTGGAAGAGCAGCGCAAGGATGATTCTTGGAAGCCCGGGTGCAGAGCGAGTGATTTCCCGAAGGAGCAGAGCACGGGATGACTTCCTGGAAGCCGGTGGCGACTTTTAGGTGAACAACTCAGCAGGGAGTGAGTTCTGGAAGCCCAGCGACTACGAGGACGACGAGTACGACGACGACGACTCTTTGAACACGAGCGCAGGGTGACAACTGCACGTGCACGCGGCTCGAAGCTGACTCCTTGCAAACGGCGCACGACGGGTGACTCAAGCGCAGCGCTCAGCGGCGCGTGCTCGCAGCGCGAGGGAGATCGATTTGTGAGCGCAGCGTCGAGAGGTAGCGGGGAATGACTCCTGCGAGCGGCGCGCGGGGGGTGCGGGGGTGGGTGACTTGAGTCGTAGCGGGTGACTGGGTCGTAGGGGGTGCAGGGGTGGGTGACTTGAGTCTTAGCGAGTGACTGGGTCGTAGGGGGGTGGGTGACTGGGTCGTAGCGGGTGACTCGGGAGCGCCACGCTAAGGACGACTCACGGAGACCACGTACAGAGTGTCGCTGTCTCTTTGAAGCGTAACGCAAGGGGTGTCAGATTCTTCGAAGCCCTGCTCATGGGAGAGAGGGGAGGGGGGGGGGGGCTGGGGTATTAATAGGTGGCGAGCGGGGGGGGGGGGCCTGGTTAATGGGGGGGTCCTGGTTATGGGGGGTCCTGATTTTGGGGGTCCTGGTTTTGGGGGTCCTGGTTATGGAGATCCTGCTTGTTGTGGTGTTTCGGCTCGGCAAGGGGTGTCACCACCCGAAGGAGCGCAGCGCGGATACGGGGCCAGAGACGGCACCTCCCCCGACTCCTCGGCCTTTATAGACAGAGGGGGAGCGACCATCGGAGAGCAGCGATGGGGGGGGGGGGGGGGTGCCGTGATGCACGAGCGCGCGTTACAAGGCACGGGGACTTTGTCGTACTGTTGTAAAGCCCACTGTTGTTGTTGTTGTTGACACGAGTTGCATCGCTATGCAAAGCAGTGGTTGGGTGCGAGAGGCGAGGTTATTCGGGTAGTTGGACGGAAACACAAAGACTCAGATTCCGTAGAATATTTATTTGGGGACAGGGTAAGGGGTTGTGGCTAAATGCGGCGCGATCTTCTAAAAGATGTGGGCGAGTTTATTTTTATTTTACCAGAAAGATTTTTTTTTTTGAAATGCCAACGAATGCGATCTCCCCCTGGATTTTGAATGCGTGCCGGTGGGTGTGATTAATACCGCGGTGCGCTAATCGCATCGGTTCAGGTAGGCTGAGTCATTATGTTTTTAACCAACATAATTAGAAACAAACGCTGATGATGATAGTTCGGCAACGTTGATTGGCGGGAAGGGTTCTTTGTCTTGACACGCACCGTGCTGCCTGCGTTCTACTGAGGCACAGATGGAAAAAAAAACACATCATCTAAATATACACTTGAATTCTCAACATCGATTCCAGGTGAGGTCGTTTAAGGCCATCCATAAATGACGTCACGCGATTTTGGACGATTTATGACCCCCCCCTCTCCCCCCTAGTCACACGACGTCACAAAAAGTCAGACCCCCCTCAAATATGACGTCACAAAGCTCTGCCCCACCCTCCTCCCCCAAAAAAACATATTTCCATTTTGAAAATAAAGCATGCTTCAAATCGCTTTAAACTATTGTCATTGTAGTGCGTTTTTAACGTGGCGCTGCACTCTGATGTTGTAGGAGTGTTGTTCTAGCAATTCTATATTTATTCAAAGTTGCGCATTTTGATGTGACGTCACATTTCTCAAACCGCCCCCCCCGCTCGTCACACATCGTCAAAAATGTCTAACCCCCCACCCCCACCCAGGTGCGTGACGTCATTTATGCACGGCCTCTTTCTCAATTTCGAAAATGTGCACTTGCTTCCATGCGGTGGCTTCCTCTCGCTGACGCTGCGACGGAGAACTCGCCGACACAACCGAAGCGACACCCTGGCACGCGACCATCGCGAACAGCGGTGCGCAAGCGATTCTCGAGTGTGCAGGCGGTGCAACTGCACAGGAGCCGCGGGAGAGGTTCGGTGGTGGGGGGGGGGGCACTTGAATAAGAAGAGACCCCATGGCAATCCCTGCAGCAAGGTCCAGGCCAAATACGCTCCGGCCCGCTGACCCGAAGATGTCCATCAAATCGGACTTACAGCTCACAGCCTGCCAGGCACAACACAACCACGGAGCTGACCAGAACACACACAGCCTGTAAACAACAACAACACGTGCTGACCAGGACACTCACCATCCTGTAAACAACAACAACAATACGTGCTGACCAGGGTACTCACCAGCCTGTAAACAACAACAACACCACGTGCTGACCAGGACACACACAGCCTGTATACAACAACAACAACACGTGCTGACCAGGACACACACAGCCTGTATACAACAGCAACAACAACACGTGCTGACCAGGACACACACCTCCCTGTAAACAACAACAACACCACGTGCTGACCAGGTCACACACCACCCTGTAAACAACAACACCACCACGTGCTGACCAGGACACACAGCAGCCTGTAAACAACAACAACACGTGCTGACCAGGGTACACACAGCCTGTAAACAACAACAACAGCATCACGTGCTGACCAGGACACACACCACCCTGTAAACAACAACAACAACACGTGCTGACCAGGACACACACGCATCATGGCTCACAGTCCAGCAATAGCGTCCCACCCCCCGAGTCTTTAGTTCCCTGTGCTGTGTGAGTGGCACACTGATGGCACGGGAGTGGCACACTGGCACGGGAGTGGCACACTCTGACACGTGCTCTGACGAGTGTCCGTCTCGCCGTCTCAGTCAACCTCAAGACCAGAGCGGCTTCGCTCCCCGTCCAGTGTCACAGCGACCCCTCCTGGCAGATACGGAGCACCGCGTTTACAGATCACTCCGGGTTTGCTTCCGCTCAGTATGACATTTAAAACAAGTATATCCCATAAAAACAAAGTTTTTCACTATTAATCCTTTATATGCGTGGCGGCTAGAGTCCTCTCGTCCTCTGGCTTGAGATGGCTGCCACCTATGGGTCAGATTATTGCATGGCACCATTAAGCAATTGGTAATTAAATATAATATTTTTGTCCTAAAAAGTGTAACATTTTGGAAAAAGAATGTCACGAACATTAATTGTCACGCACAACGAGTCTGTGTGCAAAATGTCAGCTCGATTGGATCACGGGAAGTGGGTTAAACAACGACTGAAAGATTTGCACGGTCGTAAGTGCGCAAGCAAGCAAGCGAACTTAATATAAAGGATTTAAAAAATGAATGTGTCGTCTATCAATGGTCTCAATGATTTCTCTAGAGGTCCCTCTCGTGGGCGCCCTTCCGCCTCTAATGGCGTGAAGCGAGCTATTGTAGGGCTCCGCCTTTATCACATCCCAAGGCCGTCATTATAATATATATGGGAGGGGGGGGGGACACACATCCCCCCCCCCCCCCAATATTCAAATATGCTCAAAATGTCCCCCCCCCCCCCTCCAATATATTGCTATAAAATTTATTTCTGTTTATATGATTGTGGTTATTGTAGTACTTTATAAATCCTTAATCTTTGCCATTACATACAATGAATCAAGAAAAGGTAAAGAAGAAGAAACAGAGCAACGTAATATAATACACTATTAGACATTATTGCAAAAAAAAAGCCCATCGTATGTGTTCGTGAATATTTTTTTATTTTTTAGGCAGGAAATTAGTTTTCAAACTTAGATTTTTGTTCTGGGGGGGATCCCCAGACCCCCTGTAAGATTTGGTCCCCCCGATGTTGACTCCATGGCTACGGCCTTGTCACATCCTATCGACGGGCTCATCTGTTTAAGTGAAGGCACGAGTGAAACAAGAACGGCCAAACATCCTCAGTTTGGACACATCACGAATAACGGTAAGGCATTCGCCAATTGGCTGAGAAAAATGCGCTTGCAATGCACCCACAATGCACACCAGCTATAACTGCAAGGGCAGATGGAATATGACCATCTCATCATGTCGCTTGCAAAGGCCTTCTCGAGTGGCTGCCTAGAGTACCAGAACGTTTAAATCCAGAATCCGTCAGATTTGTGAGCGTGTTGGCGGACGTGCAGTTGTCCATTCTTATGTACGAATCGCTTTGATGTTTTGATTTAAAGCTTTCGTGACTGCAGGGATTCATATTCTTGGTTCTTTCGGTAAAGTCACGTAGACGGGAAATAATAAAAAAAACGCCACTTTTAAAAAAAATTATTGCTGTGGATTCACACCTGATGATGATTGCTTGTGTTGCAGTCGAAACATCGTGAGAATGTTTTTTTTTATATTTTTATTATTTTATTATTTCTCTTCTACGTTACTTTACCGAAAGAACCACTTTGATGTTGTTCTTTTTCTGTGCTGATTGCACCACGGATCTCCCTTGCAAACCTAGCTGGGTAACTGGCTACACGGGATCTTCCCTGTAACAAACAGACATTGAATTTAAAGTCACGTAGAAGGGAAGCAATAAAATAATAAAAAGAAAAGATAATAAAATAATTCGCACGACGTTTCGGCCACAATGCAAGCAGCCGTCCTCATTTTGAATGAGATTCAGACGCTGTCTCCCCGACAGATCTGGTTTTCACCTGAGGACGGCTGATTGGGTTGTGGCCGAAACGTCGTGAGAATTATTTTATTATGTTTCATTTTTAATTATTTTATTACTTCCCTTCTACGTGACTTTACCGAAAGAACCAAGAAGAAAGAGACATTGAATTGACAACAAGAAGGAAAAGGCCAAACATCCCGAGTCGGACAGATCGATACCCACCGTTTTGAGAGGTCAGACTCGGCGAGGCATTTACTGGGATATGTTCGTCTGCAACGGATAAAACACAAAGTTCGTAAATTATTCTGAAGATTTGTGCAGACTCATAATGTCTATCTTCCAGATTGGGCACAGATGTTTGTTGTAGTACAGAGTTGGCCTGATAACTTTAATCTACATTGTCTTATGGTTGTTATTGTTTGACTTGCATCGCACTGGGATTTTTGCACACAGCGTTGAAATGCGGTGTTTTTTTTATGGAAGACTGCTGTTTTTTCCTGGATTTTTCTGTTGCGTGTAGTCACTTTAAGATGTTTCTTATTCATGTTTTGTTGCGGTTGCACCCGAGTCAACAGCTGCATGGCTCACAGGGCTAAACCTAATAAATGAAACTAAAACTGAAACTGAGATATGAGGTAGTTTAAGGGATTTGGTTGAAATAAATGTCCACTGATATTTTTTTTACGATGGAGAGGCGTGGATGATTACACTACTTCTCATCAGCAGATGGCAGTAAAAGCAAAACAAACCTCGGAGCAGCAATGGTTAAAATATATATATGAGCAGACAATACACCTTCACACATCTGTCCAATTATATATTATAACTAGCTGTACTACCCGGCTTCGCCCGGGACTTGGATCCACCACGCCCGGCCGCCTTTGTCTCTCCAGCGGCGATGTTCACACACCACAGCAGTTACTCGTTTTGAGGCTGAGTCGACCAAGGGGAGGCCTAGGACCGGTTCAAATATCGTCACCGGTGATGGCCGTGAGCGGGAATCGAACTCGGGTGGCTGGGTTCGTAGCGCAGCGCGCTAC